CACAGACGAGAGGATAGAGGAATGTACAGAATCAAGAAGGCAGAAGAACATACGCATCTAACAACTTTCTATGCAAGCTACACATCGAAAGAAACAATATTACAAATCTAAATATTTGTCGCTTTCATTTCAGTAGATTATCAAAAAGCACACATTAGGTGATTAAGTCCGCCAGACAAACATCAACCACGAGTTAGGCCAAAGGCACGGAAGTTTCGTTGGCTTAATGTTTTTAAGATATCTATTAAGACCTGCTATGTCTTCCTAAGGAGAACATTGTTTGCTTATTTGAAATTGAATGCGTACCTAGAAGATGAAAACATCTTCATATTCTTCAAAATGACTCCACAGTTGTAGGTTAGCTCAGATGGTGAGGGTGCACGCTTCGTTTAATTATTTTCACCGTTGCACATGTGATTGGTTCGAATCCAGTTCGGTTGTGTCTGACTCGCGTGAAGTCATTATTTTACTTTCGTTTACGTTTGACGGAAAAAGTATGATGTATATTTGAAGAATAATTTTTTTTAGACAAATAATTAACTACTGTGGTAATATTTTTGTAATTATTGAAATACCTTAACCTCTATCTTCTCGTAAGTATTAAAATAATTTATGTTAGCATATTGGAAGGTGTAAATGTGTCTTTTGAGAGTAGTTAACAATGACGTTTTACGTATTGTGTAAAATTTGCAGTTCATCAAAAATCAGCCAGAAATGACTCGAAAAAGTTGACCAACCTCAGTTGAATGTTGTTCTTGGATTCAAATTCATCATTTCTACCGCGTTTTTTCTTTCTATCTCTACTGAACCACCTTCTCCTTCCAGCACCAGAGACACCATCTCTTCCACTAGCACCACCATCACAACCACTCCTACCACCACTGGCGTAACCTCCATCATCACACTTTCTTTTTCCGCCACAACCTCTTCCACTCTTTATCGTGTCGCAGTTGGAGACATTCACGTCGTTCAACTGCTGCAGTTGTTGCAGTTGTTTCTGTTGGCGACTCCTACTTGCGGCGTTTGTGTCGTGTGGCTGGCGGTCGTGGCTCACCATTTTGAACATCATCTTGAAGGACTGCTTGAATTTTTTCTGAGGAGTGTTTATTGATTAAGTGTTGTTTTTGGTGTTTGTTGTGTGATCAGCTGTTTGCTGGTAGTCATCAAAATATTGAACACTTCAAAATGTAGTTCCATCAATCAAAATGATTTGATAAACTTGTTCAGTTTTCCACGCGACTTCAACATAATTTTTGCTTTCAAAATTGTTCGTTAGTGTTTTTGAAAAACAGAACGAGACGTGATGGCACATCTGCCTGTGGAAGCTAGGCTGAACAGATTACATATTCATTAGAATTGCAATTCAATAAATGAATGAATGAGTGAATGTAAGAATGAGCTGATTGATAGGCACAAAAAACAATCAATTGAAAACAAATATTTGTCTACAAATGTCTGAATGTCCGAAGTATTTTAACAGATTTAACACCGAAGAATTCTCAATTTTATATGTCAGTGGCATTTGCGCGTCTATTCTATTTTTTCACGAACGAAGGTCACACGTCATGATACTTTGATGGATGACCTGCTTTCTACTACGTTCTAGATATCACAAAATTGGCTCAGATTTTGATCGATGTATAATTTTTTTTATATACATAATTTACTTACAATTGGATTTAAAGATGAGTTTTTTTTTGATAAAGTAGTAATAATCACGTAATCAGTTATTATTCTGCCAGGAATATTTGAAAGAACTTAAATTTAAACCACCCGAATGATAAAAACATTTACACGAGCAAAAAAAAATTGTTCACATGAGTGTGTAATTGATTGACGATGTTCAGTGGAAATTTAAAAAAAAAGTTACCCGCAGGTGGAACGCATTTGTTCATTCCCAGTTCTGCGGAGAAATAATTTTGTTTGGAGTGAATGAGAAAAAATATCTTGCTGGATGGATGTTAATGTTTACGTTGTCAGAGACATGTTGTTATGAATGATGAATGATGGATATGCTGTTTGTATCAAGATGATGAATTTTGTTTGTTTGTATATATGTGTGAAACATTTTGCGTTTGCATATGAAGTTTGATATGTAAATTTAACATTTCCAGTCTCTTTTTTCATGAAAGCGTTTAAAAATTTTTAATTAAAAAAAATTAAATTGATTCATAAGTAATAATATAAGACTAATATACCGCATGAGAGATTTGTTACTAGGTGCTAGAGTTGGAAGAACTTACTAACATGATGTCATAAAGCGGGGATGCTGCCAAGAGACCACAACAAAAGTCTTTTCGCCTCCCTTGAGTCAAAAGATTTTTTTTTTCATTTTTTAAAAACTAACTTTACTTTTCAACAAAATGGCACTACGTATAATTGGAAATAAAAAAATAATTAAAAAAACAAAACAACATGGGTGAGGTTAATTAGTTTTTTAAGGAGAGCCTGAGCCAAATTCATCATCCTCACACAAACAACATGTTTCTAGCAAGGTAGACATAGAAATTTGTCTCTTTCTTTTTATATTTTTTCTTCATTCAAAACAAAATGTTTACATGAAGAAGTTGATTGACGCATTTTTGTTTCGCCAAGCACTAACATCCGTCAAAATAATTTCCATTAACTCCAGTTTAAAATAAAACAAGATTAGAACAGAATCAAGTTATTGACAAATTCACTATTTTAAATTTTTTTTTTCATCAGAATGATAGGAAATGTAATGAAAATAGCTATTCAATTTTTTGGTATCAATTGCCTTAGTATTGATTACAATGCAGCTGCTGATGAGGATGATGATTTTGTTAATCAGATTTTTTAAAAACAATTGCAAAATTGATGGCTGTTTTGTGGTGGAAAGATGATGATACAGATCGTGACGCTGATGAGAGGAAAGTTTATTTTGACGTTGGATGGAGATGAGAATGTCGGATGATGATGATGTTGAATGATGACAATGAAGTTGAATGATGGTGACGGTGATAAAAGATGTTACTTGTTATTTGAACGCAAAGGAAGTTAGCAATGATGACAGATACACGTATTAAGACGCAAACGTGATGGAGCCTCTACCGCAACAACCAGCCATCAACCAATCTGACTGACAATGGAATTACAAATATGATTACGCATTGGAGCAGCAAGGAAAGATAATTATTGCTGTCCTGTGAATTATTTTTTTTCTGACGACGACGACGACGATGATGGCTGCCATACGTTGACGAAATTGGTGGTGACGCTACAAATGAAGACGCTGTCGTTGATGAAGTAGCGACAACGTTTTCAACAATGATGTTCAACGCTGCAGAGGTAGCAATGCTAAACAACAACATTGCGTGCGTGTGAGGTTGTTTGAGTATTCATTTCTGTTGTTTAAAAGTGTCTAGTGCTGGATGTTATTACGAAAAATTATTGTTCACTACTTTTGATGTTTGCAATTGGATTGTTTGTTCTGTTTGAAAGTTTGTAATAAATATTTTTTAGAAAAAAGGTTTATAATGAAAACAAATGAAGAAACTTTGCCACACAATTTTTCAGGAGCAGACTGTTGCACTCGGCAAGCTCTCACTGACATGAGGTTAAGCGATATATCAGTTGCTGGTATGAAGAAAGAAAATATATAAAGCTCAAACGCCATAAGCTAAGCTTGTTGCTAAGCTAAGGATAATTTACGAGAGAAGGTTTGGAGTGACTAGTTAAAAGGTAAATGTGTATTACAACTTTCAGAACTTTTAAATTCCATTTTATAAATTTTGAACTTTATTCTTTTTTATTCGAAACGAACACGTTTTATAGTTGAAGGGTAACAAACGAGCTAGGTAACATCGGTTGATGTGAACAATTAGTCAATGATCAACTGTTGATTTGTTAAACTGAAAGTCCAACTTTCACTCCATGCCTCTCATTCAACGAAGCACTCACCACATGTTTCTAAGAACCATCCACCCTCTCATCATCATTGTGCGCCACTATAAATTCACTCAGACGATTAAATTTGATGAATATTTTAGTTTAGCAAGCAAACACACATCTAATATTCTAACCGGCGTATTTTTATTTCAAATTCTGGTGATGTGCATAGTTGGACTAAATATTTGCCAACTATGTTTTTTAGTTTAACTAAAGAGTAGTGATGGTGTTATGCTAGTTCAGATTCTGTCAGTCAAGAAGTAGATAAAAAAGTAGCTGCGAAACAGTTTGGAAAAGTACAACTACATTTTTATAGTTTAGCTAACTATTTTCAAAAATAAATTTATGAAATTAATATTAACTTTTAGTTGTAGAAGAGAGTTTAATTTGAAATATTTCGTTAGTTGTTCAGCAACGTCAAATTCGTCAACTCAATAATTGCTAGCGTACATCGACACAACTTTGAAACGCGCCTCATTATAAAACGCCAGCAGAAGTTCTCGTTTGAATGTCACGAGCCGCAAAACTGCGCCACCATTGATGCTGTCAACATGTCACTCGTCGCTTTCCCAAAATAATTGTGACAGATTTTAAAAAAATTGTAAAGTCGCAACTGTGCAGTGTTAAAGTTAAAAAATGAAAGTGAACTAAACAGACGAGGCCAGATGTGAGTTTCAGTTGACGAGTACCCACTCAGCATGTGTGGGTTAATGGAAAGTTTTTCGTTCATAAGTTGGTTTTATAAATCAATTATAAACTGGAAGCAAAACGATTTTGACGAAAAATAACAAAAACATAAATGTATCATTGAAATTTATTAGAGTTTTAAAATCAAATAATTTATGATTCAATTGCAGTAACATTATTTTTTTATAACAAAAGGCGTTTATATTGAATAAGAATGTTGATAAAATTACCAAGATCAAAATCCAAACGAACAAACAAACAAACAGACAAGCAAACAAACAAACGAACGAACAAACAATCAAGCAAACAAAAAAACAAACAAACAAACAAACGAACGAACAAACAAACAAACAAACAAACAAACAAACAAACAAACAAACAAACAAACAAACGAACAAACAAACATTGAAGATGCCGTAGATGAAGGGATTGTAGCAGGAGTTGCTCATGGCTAGCCAGTTGGAGAACAGCCACAAGATGTCAACATGTCTGTAGCTATGTAGTTTTGTGGTTGATGCTATTTTTAATATTATTATTGTTATGGTGGGCTACAGAATAACAATAATAATAATAACAACAACAACAACAATAATAAAAATAATAATTAATAATAATGTTAAATGTTGATGCTGTCGTGATGCATTTTGAAGTGAGGTCGCTGCAATCTTGAACAGGTCAGAGAAAATTATTAACGTTGATAGCTTTGTTGATTTAATCTATTTAATTTTTAATAAGTTATCAATTAATTGCTATCAATCAATTATTATCAATTAATTGTTATTAGTCTGTTTATAAAATAAATGGCGTCATAAAATAAACATTTGTTACTTCCAGAATGAAAATGTTGATGACAAATGCAAAAATTTTCCAAAAAAAATATTTTATGTGGAAAAGTCCTGAAAAAATATTGTAGTTATTAATAAATAAATAAATAGTTTTTGAGAAAGCAAGAGCGTATTTTGCGGCTGTAACTCGAAACTGCGTCGTGTTTTGTGGCCGTCAGTTCATTACAAATCTTATCTTTATGCAGTTGCTACAGTGGCGATGATGGCGGCGTCATTTTTGCTTCTGAATTAACTGCGTGGGCTGGTTGTATGTAGTTTTGTTTTGCAGGAATGTTGTTGCATGGCATTGTACATGTTGTTGTACATGTTGTTGTTGTGGATGTTGTTGTGGATGTTGTTGTGGTTGTTGTTGTGGGTGTTGTTGTAAATGTGGTTGTGGATGTTGTTTTGGGTGTTATTGTTGTTGATGGCGATGTTGATGTTATTGTAAGTGGTGATGTTGTTTTTTGTTTATGATATTTTATAATACTTTGGATGTTGTTGTGGATGTTGTTGGAGATGTTGCTGCGGATGTTCTTGTATGATAAATGCAAGTGTGTTGAGTGGGAGGCAGACTGCCATGCACCGCGAAACTCTGTTGCTTCTCGTGCTATCTGCAGTTGACACTTCTCAGATTTATCACCATGCAGCCGACAGACGCATTACGTGGTAATTCATTGAAAAGTTTCGGATGTTTATATTTCTCAAGTATTCTGGAGTACATAAATCACAGTTGGATATGACGGACGGACGTGTATTAGTACTCCAGATGATTTACGAAGAGGGCTCAATTATGAAACAATATATCATTTTATTCTTTTCTACTAGATGTTCTTCTAGATAAGCAATACAATGCTTCATTCATCGCCATCAAAATCAATCCAATCATAGTAAACTAATGGAGTACGAAGAATACAAAGAGATTAAGAATAAAACTCAGAGTTCCATTGTTCGTAGAATCAATATTCCAAAATAAAAATCTAGAAGTGTTGATCTCAGTTCTGAAGGAGTGCGATATGTTAAACATATCACCGGACACCGGATCACCGGATACGAAGCCAGTATCGTGATAGCCACATGGCGTGAAGGTATGTGTTAAAACGCCGTTAAACTGCAAAGAACAACAGACAATCACCATCTTATCATCCTCTTATCATCATCTTATCATTACATCATCTTCGTCATCCTTTGATGATGTAATTGAAAATTTTGAGGATTTTGAGAAGGTGACAAAGCAGGAGGAACCAGGTAAAAGTGGAATGATTGAGAAGATGTAAACATTGCAAAAATTCGCTTAAACTTTCATAAAATTATGTGTTGTAAATGTTGTTGTCGATGTTGTTGTTTATATGAGGTTATTGTTGTATATGAGGTTATTGTGTTGTTGTTGTCGATGTTGTTGCTGTGGATGTTGTTGTGGTTGTTGTTATCTACAAAAAATGATAATGAAAATATCAACGCTACTACCACTACTATCAAAACTACAACCGCCAATCTCATCACTACTTCTACTTATACTACTACTACTACTACTACTACTACTAATATTACTACTACTACAACTACTACTGTTTCTACTACTACTACTATTACTACTACTACTACTACTGCTGCTACTACTACTAAAGCTGCTGCTACAACTACTACAACTTCTACTGCTATTTCTATTACTACTACTACTTCAACTACTACTACTACTACTTTTAACATTATCTGTTATTATTATTACTATAATAATTATTACAATTTATAACAACAACTACTACTACTAATAATAATTTAATTTTTTTCTTCATCTAAACATGATCCGTCGCTACATGCTTTCGAATGTGTTGCTTATAATGAAATAAAATATCGAATCATTGGGTTGAAATTTGATTATAATAATGAATGAATGAATGAATGAATGAATGAATGATTGAATGAATGAATGAATGAATGATTGAATGAATGAACGATTCCTGTTCAATTGAAAAACTAATCAATTAAGTGACGCCTGATTAAAGATTAATAAACAAATTACTAGCAACAATCAAAACTACTACACACAACATTCATCAACCCAAGCAAAACTACCAAGTGTCACCACTCAGTCAACATGTCAGGAAAAGACCTTCCTCGCAAGACACCTCAAACATATTGGCACTCAATAAAACTTTATCATTCACTCAGTCTAGCTTTCTTTTTACTTATCAATCACCTCACTAAGTCACTAAGTTATTAACTGGTCCATCAATAAATTACTTTATTAATTAGCGTTTTTATACCATTAATTTATTTTATTTTCAACTCTTTTCATATTTAAACATTTCTTTCTCCATTAATTCATTTATTTAATTTTTTTTCGTCACCTATACTACTGCCTTGCACGCGTCTGTCAGATCCTGATTTTTTAAAGAATAATAATAAAAAAATATATTAGTTTTACTCAATTTTTTTTCCGGAGCATATTATCACTTATTAATTTATTAATTTCTATTTATTTATTTGTTTGTTTATTTAAATAGTATAATAGCGAATGTAAGAAGTAGAGGTTTAAAATTTTAGACCAAATTTAGAACAGAATTTAAAAAAACAACACACAGCATGAATCGTGGAGGAAATTAAAAAATAATCATAAATAATATTTTTTAGAATAAATGAAAATTATTATTAAATTATAAAAAATAAAAATTGTAAAATTTGATGAACTTTTTATTGAAAATAAAGAATGACCGTCGTATACTAATGTAAAGTATATCTATTTGTATTATTTGCAATATTGTTGCTTTTTTCATACAAATTTTTTCCATAACATCTCTTTACCATTTAGTAGATATATAATGTACACACACACACTCACACATATGTATATATATATGTGTGTGTGTATGAATCTTTTCATTAATGTGATGCTTATTTTAATAATACAAAATAAAAAATGGGACAAACGTTTTGACGGATGGCACGAGGACTGAGAGGCAGTTGTAGGTCTGCAGGGGTAGCCAACACAGTGCGAACACAATCACCACAACCACCAACATCTTCACCACCTGTTTCGTTCGTGTTAGTTTGCTATTTCAATTTTTATCATACATTCCATAATGAGAACTTCTATTGTTATATTTCATTTTTTTTATTATCTGTGTACATTTTTGGTGTTCTTTAAACTTTTGTACAATTTTATTGCTTTTGGATGTGGCTTGTATGCACGTTCTCAAATTATAAACGGTTTAAAATGCTTCAAAGAACTGGCTCGTTGAAAACCTTATTCGTGAGATCATCTGCTGCTCAGAAAAAAAAACTTTTTGTTTTAAAAATATGTGACCAGAAGCGAAATAGAATTGAATTGGCCGGATCAAAGAGGAGATTTCTTGAAACTTTCATGACCGTGTAATTCTATACCATCAATGTTATTCATTTTGGTTTTCGGTATTGTTTTTATTTTGAATTTAATAAAAATTTCAAAATTATTTCTTGAAAAAATAAAACGAAAAATAAAAACGGTAACTTAGTACAGGTTACCTGCAATGAACATCACTACTATTAATTGTCGGCATCAAACATATGCTCCATCAGTGCGACACCTATCGTCAACAATTTTGTGCATATCTGTTCACATTCCCACGCAGATGTTATGCGGTTGGCGAATTAGCACAGTCGTTAGAAATGCCATTAGACGATGGTCTGGTTCGAATGGTTATCGTCAGAGGTTATCAACGACTACCATGCGAGGTGCGTGTATGGTGGGTGCTTGCGCGTGCTTACGTAATGCCAACGTGTCTTTCGTTTTCGTGACATGAAAGTTTAAATTACAAGTGTTGAATGACATGTTGACAGTTCTGCGTTTGACAGAGCTGCATTGAAAAGAACAAAAAAAATGTACAAAATCATTTAGCGTGAATGAACCGCCGTAGAATAATAATATTCACGGAATAGTCTGCTACTACTGTATGGTTATTTTTTGACCAATCTTCAAATTAAGTTTTAATTTTACATTTAAAAGTTTTTCGAGAAAGCCTCTCGAAGTCAGTGGAAATTTTTTGTTGAAAACATCTATTTTATTATTAAAATTTTAAATTAGAAATAATGATTTTTTCAATTATGCAAACCATAAAAAATTAAATTGTTAAAATCGTCCAATATTAAAAATACTCACAGCCAAATTACCAATATTTACAGACGGGCATTTTTAGCTTTTAATACGCACATATGTGCATTCACGTACGCACGCAACCGCAATCAAACTCTTCGAAGGAAATAACAATTGGAAATATTCGATGATTCATATTTCCATTATCTCCATATTTCCAATTATTATTTTTCCAAACTCTTGCAACTGAGTTTTTCATTTTTTTGTCCAATCGAGTTTCAATTTTGAATTTTTCATGTATTTTTTCACAATATTTCATGAATATTCACTGCCAAGTATGGTTTATTAAATTTTTTGAGCATCCGAGCAAATTTTTAAAGGCTGCAAGTTTTTATTAAATTTTTCAAAAAAAACAAAAAAAATTTAGATAGCACAAAAAGTTATTACTTTTTCTTTATTTTTTTTGATGATGGTGTCCCTGGAGTCGAGGGCAAATCCAGGTCTGGCGGTGGTCGACAAGTGATAGATGATGCGACTGTAGGCCACAGACATCAGCAGCAGCGGGATCATGTATTGCACCACCGCCAAATAGAACGCGTATGTCGCTGCGATTTGATCGTTTATGTCGCCTGAGAAATCATATGCAGTGTCAATGTCGCGTTCGTTGTTTTCACTACCGTTGTCGTAACTGCTGTTGTAAAAGTTTATTAGGTTGCTGTAACCGTTGAAGCTTTTGGGCTTATTTTTGCTTTGGTAGGTCAAAGTGTTTGCGATGTTGTTGGCAATGCAGTTATATGTTTCTATTTTGTTGTTGTTGTAGTTGTTGTGGTTGTTATTGTTGTTATTTTTGTAGTAGTTGTTGTTGCTGCTACTTTCCACAGCAGCATTACTGTTCGTCGAATCGATAATTCTGTGTTGATTGACGTTGTCGCACATGGGAGTGCTGTTGTGCACGAAGTTTAGGTTGTCGTTGTCGGTGTTGTAGAGTAACAAATCATCATGATCAAAGTTTGGTGCAATGATGTTGTGGCTGTTGTAGTAGTTTTCAATGCAATTTGTTGATGGGCTGAAGATGTGGGAATAGCACGGGAAGCACAGGAGACTCTTGTAGAGTGCCACAATTCTGTGGGCGATGATGATGGTTATGTTTTGTAAAAAATAAATAATATAACAACGATGAAGGAAATGTTTTATTTCAAATAAATAACAAAATAATAATATTGTTAGAATGATGAAATGATGATACTGCCACAGCACCATTCAACATTATTGCCCTTGTAAACATTCCTCCTCCTACGAAGTTTTCATTCATAGCTCCACTATAAACATCCTCGACAGCTTACTCGTTACTACAAATTTTTTTTTTTTTATGGCAACTCTATCCTGCAAAAAATCCATCAACTTTATTGATATAATATAACCAGCTCAATCACGCTATTTATTTGAAAACAGAAACGCTTTAAAAAATTTCAACCTTCCCAAAAAATGTCTAACAAAAAGGAAAAGCCTTGGCTAATAATAATCCGTGGAATTTTAATTGAAAATTTTAATTAAAAACTAAATAATAGTTAATTATTTTATTGATTATAGGGTTCTATTTTGACATTTTGAAGGTGGTTGGTTGTGAAAATATGTTAAAGTAACAGTTGTATTGATGAATGAAGTTGTAAAGACTGAAATGTAATGAATAAATAAATAATCCAAAATGGTCTAATCATATGCTAAAAGTTCAGTTTGCGCTAGAACGGTCATATTTCGTTTAAATGCACGGAGAATCATAACTGTCATGATATGCACAGCTGCTTTACGAAAATGCGATCGATTACAATGTGCTTCAAATACTTTTATACAATGTTCACATGGGCATTCTCAATTTAATGTACCAATATTTTTTGATTTTCCAATAAGCCTGGTGTTCAAAGTAATATCGACACAGGGAAGTAAAGTTTTCAGCGCCTGGCATTAAATAACTTTTCAACCGATGAATTTATGATAATTTTCCAATGCGTCGATCACTTTTTGATAGTATAAATATTCCGAGAGTTTTCTGGTGATGTCTATCCCGATCATTTCTCAATGTATTTATTAAAATTTTTTAGCATGTGTGGAGCACTAGCGTATATATCAAATATTTATTAGTTTTTGTACGTATGTTTGTATTAGAAAAATTTGTATAGCGCTTTTAAAATAAATCAAAAGTGCTCTCACAATAGATTAATTTTCATTCAAATTAATGTTCTGAAGAATAGTGTTGGTGATATTGAACGACCAGTCTCTAACTTGCACATGTCCAGGCCAGAAACTTTCTTTATTGATCACATTTGGCTTCAACTCACATTCGGAAAGAAAGTGGCGAATCCAGGCAGAAAAAAGAAAAAGGGTGGCCGCAATCATCAGGTGAGCCATCAGTTTTACTTTTATGAAGATAGAATAGCACCATATGACGTCCACACGAATCAACCTGAGGTGGTCGACAACATCCGGTGCTACTCGTTTTGTCACATTACTGACGTGATAAAGTTTTTTCTAGTTAAAATTTTTTTATTTTTAGACTGATATTTCATCTGTTAAACACAAAAAAACCAGCAACAATATGTGATGCAAATTTACTATCGCCTAATTTCCAGTTTCGTGCTCACTGATTGTTGTTTTTACCAATGATTTCACCAAATCATTAAGAGGTACTTACAGCACATTTCATCTGGAGTAAGTTCAAACTGTGTTAATCTTTTTATTTTGCATCCTACTCACTTGTTTATGTATCTCTTTGCGTAAACACTTGCGTATGAAACTTGTACGTTAAACTTTTAGCAAATATAGTATTTTATGGACACACTTTGCGTAATAAATATACATATGTATAAATAAAATTATGTTTATAGCGCAGAACCGTCTGATTAATGTGACCGTCTTTATTTCTTTGAAATTAATTACTAGAGACATTAACTTAACGGCGTGACGACCGAATAATGTATATTTCAAACTCTGGTGCGCTGTATGATGTCATAAATATATTATGATGTGCGTATGTTTTCAATGTGTGCTTGTACCTGTGAATATCGTCATGTGCTGGTATTCACTGATGTTGGGAATTCCCGATGCATTGGAAATTTTCAAAAACATTAGAAATTTTCCGACAGTGATATTAAAATTTTCGGGTATTGAAACCGAAGCATCGATAGTGAGTTTTCAGTTTTTCAGTCTACGACGACGATCCGGTCGACTTCAAGAAAGATCATTTCTAAATATTGTATATGAAGGAGTTAATGGATGAACAAACTTGAAATCAAAGTTGAAAAGGCATGAGAAGCAAATTGTTGCAGCAGTAAATTTGTTTAAATTTTTGCAACTTGTGTAATTTCTTCTGAGATTTTTAAAGAGTATGGTGCTGCAGAGTGCAGAGACCTTTTTAAATAAATAAAAATAAACTAGTGTTTATCTTCATTTATTTAATTCAAATCGTTCATTTAGTGAGGAAATAAAATTTTATTGTGTTTCAATTTTCATGTTTTCAATAGAAGTACCTTAATCCTGTCTTTCATTGTATTTATTTATCTCTCAAAGTCTGCACAAATTACTTGGATTTGCAAAATACAAAAGGTTTTTCCAAATTTTAAAATATATCTTATTGATAAGAAAAGTTTCGTTTAAACAATTCTATTCATTTTATAGCACGAACAACCCATCTGACTGTACTGCTACTGAACAAGAGTCAGATGTTGAAGTGTACATTGAAATTCTTTTCAAATTGAAGCTACTGTTTTTGAAATTGTTTCTTTCAAAAGTTAATATCAATTTTGCAAAGACAATCCGTCACCATTAATTAAAAACATTGAAGCAACTTTTTACTTGCATTTGCTTTAAAGCCACTTGCAATGTCAGCGCATCATTTATCTGCTCGTCGGCACGAAAAAATGTCATTTGTCTTTCTTTCTTTCCTCTTTCGTTTCAAATTGTTAAAGTCTCTTGTGTTGTTTGTCGTTACAATAACTGCAACAGCTGAAATCCCAACTACAAATTGACTTAGAATTGACTCGTACCCTTGCCTATGAGTTGGAGGATTTTGATTGTTGAAGGTTGCGACTGATATGAAATGTTCACTTAGACGTTGAGCAATTAAATTAGAATCGTCTGTATCGGAGTCATTTGCTGTCAAACGTGCGTTTTTAATCAGGTTTTTTTTATGTTTCTTAATCAATTCATTTAAAATTTTACATGTTTTTTAGCTGTTGTTTCTTGATTTCAAAAAGTTATAATGGTAATAGTAATGGTAATATCATTACATTTCTTTACATTTAGTTTTATATTATTACATATCGTCACAAATCGTCATATGATTACATACATTCGTCATATCGTCACAAATCGTCATATGATTACATACATTCCATATGATTACATACATTCCATATGATCACATACATTCCATATAGTGATGTTACACATTCTATATAATCACATACATTCCATATAATCACATACATTCCATATAATCACATACATTCCATATAATCACATACATTCCATATAATTACATACATTCCATATAATTACATACATTCTCAGTCGTCACATTTATATCGTTAGGTATCATTATCCATCATTTTTTATTCTTTAAAAATCAGTTACAATATCCGTTACCCAGAATCTGTTACAACACGCAAGACAATAATATAAAATGAAAAAAAATTATTAAATATTATTACAAATCGTTACAAATTTTTACATAACACATGCTTTTACATTTCATTACATATAATTGCATATCTTTGCATATCATTACGTAGTATTACATACCTTTACAACTCATTACATATTATTGCATATCTTTACATTTCATTTCATATTATTACATAACTTTACATTTCATTACATACTATTGCGTAATGAAATGTAACTATTACATACATATTGCTACATAACTTTACATCTCATTACATATTGTTGTAACCCTTGAACGCTCGTAACTACTAACACTAAAACTTCAAAGATTTCTATATTTCCAACACCAATGTTGTGGCTTCCAACGATCGTCAAATGTTCGTTATTCCGTAGGTTCAAGATTTCCGATAATTGAACACAGCTGTTTCAAACGCAAACTTTCTTAAACGTTTATTTGAATACCAACAGTAATAGAAACATCAAACTAACCCAAGTAACTACATAAATCCCATTTACGATTTCGTTTCAAACCTTCTAGGAACCTGACTGCCTTTTGTATCTGCGCAGGACCTATTAAATAGCTTGAACGGTAAATTTTTACGTTATATTATTTTAATCTTCTGGTTTACGATCCAAAGATTACAAATGCAGCAAATATAACAATAATTAAAATAATTATAACGCAACTCGCTCATTCCAGCCGTTATAACAATACCATTACATGACATTACAGCCCATTACATATCATTACATAACATTACATCTTATTACATATCATTACATACCATTACTTAACATAACATCATATTGCATATTATAACATATCATTACAGATTATTATGTGCCATTACATCTCATATTATTATTAGGTTGGTGGAAAAATAATATCGGTTTTATGTTAATAAATTTTTCATCATTAAATTTTTAAATACAGTTTATTGAATATAATGATCATTATATATCATTT